ACGTTTCAGATTGAATAAAAATACGTTGGTGCATTTGACTGCTGATTGTTTTTTAAATTTTATACCAAGTTTAAAGTGCAGTTATTCAAAATAATATAATGAGGAAACTAAAAAATGCCGCCATCTGCTAACTTCCGTGCCATTGAACCCAAAACAACAGCAAAATGCCACGTTGCATAATAAAGTTTTAATTACTGATATTTCTAGCTCCCGTCTGCGGGATCATTTCCTATATAGTTCAATAGTGAGTAATCAACATGAATACTATTTTAGCGTTAGTCGTTATAACATTCACGTCAATAAACCATTAAGTATAAGGAAACGATCTGTAGGTTTTTCCATATTTTATCAAATGCAACATCAATGCAAAAAATTCCCAGTAATCTAACTCGATTTTACATGTTACATAAGAGTAATGATCGAATATATGAACACAAAGGTCGCGCGTTGATGCAGTAATCTGAAAATCTAGTTTTCACAAAAGTTTTTAAATATTATACCAATTGTGAAATGTTGAATACCTAGAATTCTATATGATTGCCTTCAATAAAATGTGAGGCCCTCGGCTTCTGTTGCCACGATATGTCGCGCACAACCCAAATCACCACATAACTCGTATAAGTGGCTGTTAATGCTTGGTTTATAGCAATTTATTACATCAAAATTTACACTTTTGCTAAAGACAGTTGCCATGATATTATCAATAACCGTTAGAAAAATTTACTGTAAGCCTAAGAACCTTATCGCCTTCGCTCGCCTTTCTATTCACTGTCCCTATGAATTTTTTTCGAATAGACATTCGAAACATTGGCTAAACTTTATCGTTTGCCAGTTGAAAAATTCCATCTGTACTATATAGAATATCGGTAACGAGTCGGTAAGTAATACATATATGTAAACGAAAGATCATAAATATTTAATCTACAAAAAGCTTTTCAGACAGATAATTTAATCTACTCTTGCCAATATCAAAACACAGCAGAAAAGAATGAGGTATGAACGGTTTCGAATTGGCCTAGTAAAATATTATTATAATTATTTGTTTAAAATTCACTTTCCTGTGACCTTTTCACTATACCCTTTTCTTTTACAAAATTTATTAGTGCCTTTATTGGTTCTTTTAAAAGTTACAAAATTGGTCAAATGCACGGATAGGTCCCGGATCCCCTATAGGTTTCCTTGGGTTCCGTATGGAGCACTTTCAGAACCCATGGTCTGAACAATTTCATTAAATATTTACCTGCGCACTGTAGGATTCCGGATTCCAGCCGAAGCGAGACTTGCGCCATGTTTCTCGCACTCTAATTGGGCCTTTTGGTATGTCATTTTCTCATGGAACCTCTTATATGAAAAGCCATTGCTTGCTGGGTACCAAGTTGTTTTTTTGTATACATTTTGTCTTAGTTGATTGATGATATCTGATCATAACGACACAAGTATTTTAGTCATTTATTCACGAAAGGCGCTCAAACTTCAGCTTTCAAACTAGATCTTTGAGCATTGATACTTAATTACAGTGGTTTAAATGTATATCCACAGTTAATTTACGTATATACGCTGAATTACACATTCTGTCCTAATCATTCATGTCAGTATGCTGAAAATACCACAACGGGATTGTGGAAGAGAGATTTTTAAAAACCAATTGACAAAATGGCAAACCGAACCTGCCGGCACAGAGAATACTACAACTGCTAATCATGTTAGCAATTCAGATATTTGACTGACGAGATAGTTATCAAGCATTATGGTAAATTTATACAGATTTTTCAGTTTAACATAACATGATTATGCGCCACCAGCTAGCAACTATCTTTTGGAGAGAAACTAAAGATAGATGAAGAGACTTCGTCGATAAACAAGTTAACAATATTATAATATTTTTATATATTACCATCCGCATTCGGATTCTGGCAGGATCCTTCCGATATCAGACGACCGTTCCTCAACTTACGCACACACGGTTCTCCACCTAAATATATATAAATTGCTGTGTTTGCAATACCTTTTCGATGCAAAGAAATAGTTGTAAAACATGATGACGTAAATTGGTGAATGAAGCTAAAACTGCGTAAACTGTTTCTTTCATTCTCAATAAGCAATTACGGAAACCGTAGAGCAGGGGTTCTTAAACTTTTCAAGCCGCGTCCATTGCCTGAGATACACTTCCATAGAGCTTTCTCTGTTTCACTGTGCGGACAGGAACACTTATAGTCCAGTTTAAACGTTTTAAAAATGAAACATGTCAAGAAGAAGGCTACATTATTTATACGCATATATACTTCAAGGAGAATATTCTATCATTTTTACAAACTTTCAATAGCGCAAACTTTTATCAGTAGAAACTTTACTAAAGGTTAATCATGGAAACAACTCAAAATTAATTTCACTGACCTTTTGGTAACTCTGGAGCAAGAGAAAGTAACCAGATGAAAAGAAGACATGTTTGAATATTGCACTCCATTCCCTGTTCCTGGTTGTGTAATGTGCAGTTGAAAGTGTGATTAATGTTTAAGCTGTAAACTAAACTGGTTTATAAATTGTGAAATGAAAACCAAGTTACTAAATTCTTAAAATTGGTATGTTTATTAAATCATTCTACATCTATAATCATTAAAAAAGTATTATTTGACAAAAATATCTGCCTACGAATTGCAATTCAAATTCTGATACTCTTTCAGCTGTTTGGTTTTTTATTCCCTTTAGCGACTTTTAAACAGATTGCTAGTTGCGACTCCTTTCTGCTTTTAACGACTAATATATGATGTGATTTATAATTATAATTAACGTATAAACATTGACAGCCGAAAATAAAATGAGTCGATATTTACAAGCGCATGTAATATATCCGAATATTAAAAATCTGTGCGCCTGGATAATAATTTGCATTCAGCGTTCACTTTAACTTTGTCCCTTTTAGTCACCTTTAGCAAAATAATCAAGGAAGTAAATGTATAAGTGAATATTCGCTATACATTTATTATTTCATTTTCAAACTGCGATCATCTTTGGACGCGTTTAACTATGACGACAGGTGTTTCACTCTGTTAGGTATTGAATTTTAGTCACAAATGACTCGTTTGCATCACAGTTGATAGTTTCTATAACTTACGTAGCAATGGTTGTAGTTTGCGGATGATTGTGAACATAACCACATAAAAAAATCGACTCCATTATAGTTAGCATATATTTATATATGAAATCTCTAAAGACCTATCAGTCTGGATTTGTTGATTCGTTACGGAATATGCCACAAGATTCCTAGTGTTCAGTAAAATGTTATCACATTTTGAAAACCATTTTACAATTATCTTCATGTAAACCTACAAATTTCGTTGACCAAAAGTTTTTTTTATTTTCAGCAAAATTTGGGGTTAAAGAATTAGGCATGGAAAGTACAGAAAAAAACGTACGAAAACTTTATAATAACAATTTTTAGATTTTACTTTTAAATTCACGATAAACTTCAATATTCCATCCACAAATTAACTGCATATAGGCCTACATTACTTAACGATTAAATATGAACAGTTGACTTCGAGATTCATTTACTGGTTCTAATACGACAGTAAACGAAGATCGAATGTAATGAATAATATTATTGGGAAATCTGTGCGCAATTGCGATGATGGGTCGACCACAAAACGAATTTTTAGTCATGATTTGTATTTAGTCTTTAGTTGGTGCATGGACCAATCAAATAGACCGGACAAGGCCAGGAAGCAACACTGAAATATACTTGGGTTTTGCTACCATTTCAAAGGCCCTCTTAGTGTTCTTATAACTCTGTAAATTTACACAATAAAGTTTATCACTGGCACAGTGGCAATATATAGTAGCAATGTGTTGTAAACTATTTCTCCTTGTGTGTACTATCTACACGTTGAACTCATTCTCAATGTTTATCTAAGAGCAAGATGGCATTCAAAATTTTATTCAATTGTTAATAACCCTAATTTCTATAGAAATGTCGCGGCTGTTGACATAAAAATAGCGTTACCAATGTCTATTGTACTGTGCTAACGTATAAACCAGTCGTTAATGACTGGTGGGGTCTATGAAATCCGCCATTCATCAAAATAATGTATACGTAGTCAGAGGAGAGATTTATAGTATCTTATATGACAGGATTTGGTAAGAAAATGAATTTTATGTTTTCACATATACGTTCATTTTAAAGATACTACAATTTTTTAAAAACTGTTGGGTTGTTGTCAAATTGATTGTATTTTACAAAATTGTTTTGACATAATTAGATTCCTGGTAGAAATTATAGTATTCCTACTGACATGAAAAGTCAGCAGTCCAAAATCTCACGAAAGGAACAGGGATGGGGTAAAAGTGAGCAACTGGATACGCATTAAAAAAATTTGATGGTCAGGGATAAAAACAGTTCTTTAGTTTTTAATGTATTGCAACATAAGATCAATAATCACATTTTTATTTTATCTTTCTTTGACTTACTTAGTAATTTACGTAGTAACATGGGTTAAATGGCGTGCTTTAGTCTTTGTTGTTAACAAACAATATAATAGCGTGGATACGCCAGTTTAGAATCATATAAAATCACGTAGGAATATGAAAAATTTATTATTATTGAGTATTACTTCATTATTCACGCGTTACATCCACTGTCTATCAAAACATATAATGATAAATAAAGGTGCTTTTCATATGTGAAGCAAATGCGTTTATTTTCGTTCAAGCTCATCAAGAATTCCATATAGGATAGAAATTACGAACATTCTACAGTTACCAGTTAAAATGAGTCGATCAATATTTTTTAAGGACAAGTGTTTGTTGACAGGCCCATTTCGTAGACCTTGAAAAACGACTAGAAAAACGCCATATCCATTTATATAAGGATAAATTATACCTTTTTCAAATACTGGTCGTGTGTGAGACCTGAAAATAATCCACCTTTAGTTAAATGATCCTGATGAAATAATGAATAAGTAATGTTGACACTATGTTATAGTAAAGTTTGCAGAAAAATTTACTTCGTAAATGTATAAATGAACTAAAACGATTATGACACTCGACAATGAGTCTCCAAATAATAATGACGTCACTGGAACGAATTCTCATCATCCACCCGGAGACAGACCGAAGCATGAAAAGAGAGAGGGGTTACAGCACAAAAAGGATTCAAAACATCGATCTACACCAGATCACAGTAAAGAAAGAAATAAGAAAAGTTTGTTGTCTCACAAATTAAATGATCATAATGGCCATACGGACAAACCATCAACTAGAGATGGTAAGAAGAGGAGAGCGATACTGAAACGCAGGTAATATAAATAATATTACTCGTATACATACAGAAATAAAACAAATAATATTCAGACAATGTTTTTTGATACGTGCACAGACTCAACTTTGATTTTATATAAACAAAACAAACAAAGCGATTCAAAACCGTTACACTGTCACTAGTGTTCGGCAAACTTTACTTGGCCGAATATGCACATGTCCGGTAGCGTGTGGGCCCAAATATACATACATTTTGAATTGGCAATGCGATCACATTTTCTATCTGATATTAAAATTGTAATTACTTGAAAATTGCTATAGTTTTAAATACATTTGCAAAAGCTATAAATATTTCCTATCAAAAGGTAAAAACGGCCGTGTAAAATCTTATTATAAAATTGAATTCAGTGATTCTTCGCTGAGTGCTGTATCTGCTAGAAGCGGAAAGTCGAGCGTGACAATATCAGAACATCCAAAGCGTCCACCACTCAGTGCAAAAAGCAGAAGAATTCAAAGAAAGTGGAGATCCATAACTAGCCGGTGAGATTTTTATTTTTATCAACGCTAGGAATCATGGTAAATATATATAAATAATACAGTAATGCCACAAAGTATTCGAACAGTTCAATCTAGGAATACATGCTAAACTCGCATGAGTAGGTAGGTAAAGGTAATCACGGAAGAGCATCAATAATTAGTCGACACGAAAGCGTATTCGCAAAATCAAATTTTGTTGAGTGCAATTGGTCAATGTCTAAGTGGACAGAGGATACGATTGTTTTATCAAAATATAAAAGTAAATTTAGAGTGTATACTTAGGATTTGTCGTCATGACAACATATTTGTTATTTATATCGGACTTATGACAAACGATAATTATTTTAAGCTATGTATCTATGTTTTATGATATTCCTATTCTACATCGAGTGTAAGTGTCCGATCGCCAAGAGAAGACGACACTTAACGACGCTTCGAGGAGGTATTATATATATTTTAATTTTCACTCAAAATTGTTCTTTGTGTTTTATACTTCACCAAATCAGAAATATCGGTTGTTGGGATATAATTCCAGTCGATAGCGGTATTTGTCGAAAAAATTTCTTCCGAGTATGGAATATTTTTGAAGCGTTAGCTAGTTAGATGATTACATGTTAATAATTTTGAAAAGATCAGTTTAGGGATATGTAATTGTATACAGCAGAGGTGGGCAAGGTTTTTGAATCAGACCCACCTAGACTGGCAGGCCATGTGAGAGTGAGATGAAAAGTCACATTTTATGAATAATATTTACAGTGTTTGATTTCAGTTTGGTTGTGGCAGCATCAGGGGGGCCAGATTGAATTACCCAACTGTCTGGATTTGGCCCGCTGGCTGTACTTTGCCTATGTCTGGAGTGTGTCGTAGGGCAAGAAATAGGTCTATATTTTATCAGTATCAATATGAGAGATGATAAGAAAATAGTGACGAAGAGAAAAAATGACGATTAACTATTTTTTGTGGATATATTGTACTTGAATATATTACCTTTATATAAACGAGTCAAATTTTAAACTTCTGTCCGTAAAATCTGATGTTGTTCAAACGAAACGTTCCATTAATTTGTGCTAGTGCATCAGGACTCTTGACACACATTGACAGCTATATGGAATCATCGAATTCCCAAATTTTCAGCTTTTCACACCTGTTTCCTCACTCTCAGACTATATAAGTATTATTTGTCTTTTACTTCAACGTATTTTAATTCATTTTGTCTTATAAAGTTTATAATATGGAATATGACATATATGGGATAATATGGGATATAACATTGGCATAATATGTTCTCGAGTGGCATTGTTTAATTGATTTTGCCTCGAATACTGACAATTTCTTATGACACCGTTTTGACATAATGTCGTTGCTACCGACAGCTGTAAAACAAACAACATAAACCACTGGGCTTATCAAACAAAATCAATAGGATTCGGTTGTCATCTTTACAAAAGACACAATGTTTATTTTCATGTTATCAACACTCGAAGACCATTGAATATAATTAACTAAATATTTGTCAGTGGTTAGGACATTCTTACGCAGCGAAGAAGTTGATTGGAATGAAGAACGATTTTTATTTTAATATTCTTGGTTTTTGCATGGGTCAGCTATAAACAATTTTCGCTTTTATTCCATTCATGAATGTCGAAGATTATGACAGGAATACTGAGTAATGAAAATATACGTTGAATTTGAAATAAATTACTCGCTCAAATAAGACGCGAACAAAAAATTATCTTTAAAAATGATAGAAGACACAAATGATCCGTTATTCGATTTAACCAGACGCATTAATAATAGCATCCCACAGACACACCAGTTAATTGTTGATATTTATCGAACATGGTATAGATGTGAAGTAGGTACCAAAGTAATTATTTTAATGCAAAACTGAAATTGCAAAATCTAAACGTGATAAACTAATAAGAGTCATTTAAACTTATGTTCATCGTATCTTTGTCTTTACCAGAATTTACCTTCGGCAATTACTCTTTATATATAACTCTACCTACTATTTAAGGTGACCGCTTGATTGTATGAACTAGTTTTTACAACTAGAAACTATTCTTACTAACAAATTCTTTAGCTTTTTTAGTAAAATGTCGGTTTAAATTGTGGTCTCGTATTTCCCACTCTCGTGAGATTAAAAACATGAACTTTTAATCCGGTCATCACCAATTGTATAGGATATTTGCTAACAGCCATTTTCAACGAAGTTACCATGTAACATTGTAAAGTAATTCTTAATGAGAATGCTTTCTAAAAATATCAAATATGCAATGAATTGTATAACAGAACTAAGAAAGTATGGAATTATTTAAATTTCCTTTTCCTAATTCCGTTGTTACGTTGGTTCTGTACGATCTGATAAGTTGTGGGTTGTAATGTGCTACAATTAAATTTTGTTGTGTTTTACATCCTTTTTTAAACTAATCACAGTTATCGGAAAAATGTATTTAATAATAAAGAAATCCACATACCGTGGATCTGCTAACAAGTGATACGCGATTCGTTTGTCCAACACACACTATCAAATGTCTTACAGTTATTCAGTAATCAGTCAAGAAACAAAACCACCAGCTGTTATAGTAAAAGCAAACAGATTGATGACATTTTTTTAAATGGGACTTTTCAATATTGGTGTATGATTAATTGTCTTTTTTAAGCACAGATTATCTTTACTCCACACATGGTTAATGATTATTGAAATTTATACTTTTATAAGAATACGTGACATAAGTTTATATTGTTCGGTGACATATTTCTTGTTGAATGATTAATTCTGGGAAACAAGAATAAGTTGTTAGTTCAAAAAATTTTTGATAAGTATATTCTTGGCAATCAAATTATGTTAGCAGCATAGGATTAGTTTAAAAAATATCCGCACTACTGATTAATGTCCCAACACCCTTTGCTGTTTAAATGGATAAGAATTGACGTATAAAGGATCACGCTTACTGTCAGAATTCTACATCTCATGCAATAATGAATCTCCGTATAGATAGAAACTGTTAAATAGAAACCGAAAATTTTAATTATTTTGAATAAATACAAAATGTCCCTATATGACGTAAAGCGTAGCATATACTGTGATTTATGGCTTTATATTTGCCTGGTTTTAGTATTCGTGGGTAACTGAGAATATTTACAAATGATAGTCTGTATTTACAAACTAATTTTGTCAGATTTTATCGGGCCGGCCTTGTTTGAGTCGACATATCAAAATATTTTTTGTGGCTCATGCTTAAGTAGGGTATTAGGAAATAGTTTAGGGTAATATTTACCCGGTATATGTTAAGCAATTGTCGCGCGATAGCAACTATTTCAGCAGGTTGCTAGTAACAAATTGTATTGTGTTTTGCCTGATATCGGGTGTACTAATTTGTGTTGCCTCGACTGGTTCAAGTTACTTCAATTTTTAGTTTGTTAATCTTAAGTGTTAACGTTCAACTTGGCGCGGGGGTTATTTTATCATGGCGAAGAGTGGTAACAAATCGCCAATGAAAGGATTTGACAGTAGTATGCTTCCTGTGCCGAAGGCTCGATCAAGATCTCCTTCGGTGTCTTCAACAAAATGTTCGAGTGTGAAAAGCATGAGCCGGACTGCGACACGTCGCGGCCATGTTGGATTTAGTGACGGACAAGGTAGTGGTAGGGAGAACGCTTCTCCTGCATCGTCTTCAAGTTTTGGTCATAAAAACTCTCCAAGAAACCGACAGTCAAAAAAGTAAGCAAAATCTTATAAGGTATATTTTTAGATGGTATTGCTAAAATTTAGTTTTCATTATTTTTGCTTCAGTTTCTACTCGGTTGTCTTGAAATTCTGGTAAGCATTGTACTGAACTAGGAAATGCTCCGGATATATTTCGAGTTTTATTTTATTTGAGTGCTATTCATGATTTGTATGTGTATGTGTGTGGTAAAGAGCGACCACGCAAATTAAGCTCGCTTTTCTGATTGTTCTGTTTCTCTTTGTTTACTTGCTGTTGATTGTGTTTTGTCGTCCCTGTTTTTTGACAATATTCCGCTGTAATCAAGTGTAATTAATTCCGAAGAAGATAACCATAATATCACATTTCCAGAAAGCAATCGGTTGAGTACCTGATAAAATTTAAACTCTAAAAACATACCGCGTAAACTGCATGAAAAACTATACCCTACGAAGCACAATATCTAGCAAATATTAAAATAACATTTTAAATTTCTAAATTAAAAAAAAAAAAAAAACATACCGTGTTTCCCGAGAATAATACCTACCCTTAAAATAAGACCCAGCCTGAATTGTAAAAATGTTTTTAATATAAGCCCTCCCCTTAAAATAAGACCTAGTCAATAACGCGAATTTTTTCTTTACCAAGTCGATATCAAGAAATCTCTTCTACGCGTTTTAAAATGATTGATATTCATGTTTTGCAGTTACTTTGAATAAAAAAGGTTATTTATAAGTGAATGGATATCGGTTTTTGTATTTTACATATTTGAAAATCTCGTAATTCTCTTCTTTGTAATTTTGTTTTTATTAAATAGGAATATAACACATCCCCCGAAAAATAGGGCCAGTGTTCCTTTTTGTAAAAAAATTGAAATAAGACCCGGTCTTATTTTCGGGAAAACACGGTGGTATATAAGAACACGCGGCAAATGCGACTATAGTGTGCACAAAGCCGTATGTCGGAAGCAGTATATAACGTGTTTTCACGCGCCTCTGTGTTTTCTTTTTATCTCTAAATTTGTTGCATAAAATATAATCAATTTCTTAAGCATTTATATTTGTATAAATTAGAAATAAAAATGGCCGTCAAAATTTCTGACTACATCTAAATTGGTCGCTTTAAAGAATGCTTATAGTTGTCGCGATAATAAAGTGACCTATTTCGCATACTATTAATGTAAAGGGGTTAAATAACAATATAATTCATAGTTCAATCCACATTCGATACACTCGGACAAAGAGGCGGACGAAAAGGCGCGGCGGTGTGGCTCAATGGCGCGGCGGTGTGGCTAAA